AAGGAGATTCTATTAATCTGTTCATTAGGGCACTTCAAAAACAACAAAAAATACTTATTAAAAGTAGTTCCAGCTGCGTAAGCTCGTTACTTGCACCTTAACAATGCTTGTGGCACTCTACCAAAACCATGTGGGATAAAAAAAATTTTTTTTTTGGCAATTTGGAGTCTATTCTATTATCGCCGGTCAACCCTTTCAGGCAGTGATGAATAAATATTACTTTTGGAAATGCAACGAGACATATTTGCACATCATTTACATTAAAAATGTAAAAAAAAATATATATATATACAGTGGGTACGGAAAGTATTCAGACCCCCTTAAATTTTTCACTCTTTCCGTACCCACTGTATATATATATATATATATTGCAGGAATTTGCAATGTCATTTTTGCAAATAATCATGGTATATTGTACATGGCAACTTCCTTAATTCCGTTCAATGTGCCGTTGAGGCAGACAGGGTCTTAGGGTCTTCTTTAGGAGCAGGACCGGGGCTCAGCAATTGATTGCTACATTGATCTAGAAATGCCTGAATGACCGTAAAGGAATTAAATTGGTTTCTTGGAGGATATGCTTTTTTTATCATAAGAGAAAAGTAAAAGCTCTGATTTTGACAATTTGGAAGCACAGCACGTGAATAAACGCAAAAATCAGAGTTTTAACTGTTGCACACTTTATATATCTGAGGGACGCAAGAAGAATGTGTGTATTGTGAGATTTCAGTGTAGGTCAACAGATTTGATGTTTAATCACTTCTTATTCAGTCAAACAAAAGCTCAGATTCCTAATTTAATGCCTCTAGACCGAAATCAATAAGCGTGTTTGGTAACACTTTAGAATAGGGAACACTTATTCACTATTAACTACGAATTTTCCCTCAATAAATTCCTAATTTGCTGCTTATTAATAGTTAGAACAATGCTTGTGGCACTCTACCAAAACCATGTGGGATAAAAAAAAATTTTTTTTTGGCAATTTGGAGTCTATTCTATTATCGCCGGTCAACCCTTTCAGGCAGTGATGAATAAATATTACTTTTGGAAATGCAACGAGACATATTTGCACATCATTTACATTAAAAATGTAAAAAAAAATATATATATATACAGTGGGTACGGAAAGTATTCAGACCCCCTTATAATAAATTCATGTAGAATAAGGCATTAATATGTGCTTAATTATTACTAATAAGTGGCTAATATTCTAGTAATATGCATGCTAATAAGCAACTAGTTAAGAGACCCTAAAATAAAGTGTTACCGCGTGTTTTTATTTGGCTGATCTCCAGGTATTTTTCCAGCACCTTACACCACCAGCTCATCTAGATAAACATTAACACCCGATTGCCATCTTATTTTTAGCTTGTCATGATTATACAGCTGAATTTACAATCTGTGAGTATGCCTGAGTTTATTCCTGTGATCCATGCTGGAAAAAAATACTAATCACATCAACTGTATGACAGTCTAAAACATTTAAAAAATGCATATTTTGCCAGTGTTGCTGGGTGATATGTACATATAATTTTAATACACATGAGCACAATGTATTTCTGTTTAAGCTGTTTGTAAAAAACTAAATAAACAGTTGGTGTTGTTCTGTTTTCATGAATAATAAACCCAAAATTGTCAAAATGATCAACCCAGAATTATCAAAATAAGCCCAATTTTTTTAAAATGATAAACCCCAAATTGTCAAAATGTTCTTGTAATGTAATTGATAGATATTATGTATTTAAACAATAATGCTATTTTCTTTGCAAATTGTTTGTAAAATCATTCCTTCATAAATTGGCAAAATTCAATTCAAGAATGGTTTCAATATTACTTAAAAATAGTAAAAGTAGTTTTACGAACAATTTAAATAAATTAATTCTGCTGATTTCACGAACGAGGTCCCATAAACATAAACTTTTATACATATTTGATAGCAATTTTTGTAAAAATAGTTCGTAATAACTTTTTTCCTGTAAACTGCCAAATTACGGAAGCAAATAGTCTTAATAGGATTTAAAAATAGCAAAAGTAGTTTTACACAATTCATTCTGCTCATGTTTGACTAATGAGGCCCAATAAATGAAAACTTTTGTACGCATTTGAGTGTCAATTGTGTAAATCACACTTTCTGTGTACATTGTTAAAAAAAACATTCTTTTTTAAATTGATGCATTCAGATTTAGTTTTAAGAATAGTAAAAAAAAATAATATTTTTTACAATTTTATACAGAAATTCGTTCTGCTTGTTTTTCATGAAAGCGGCTCAAAAAACACCAACCTTTGTAGGTATATGAGTAAAAAACATTCCTAAATTTTTGCGTTCAATTCAACATTACATTTAAGAAAATTACTTATTTAAATTAAAAATAGTACAACTATTTTTATGAACGATTTACACAGAAAAACGCAAATGCTGATCACATTTGATAGCCACTGTGTATCAAACTACAAAGTCGCACTACCTCCAGTGTTAAAGGACATAGCTTGCCTGTCGTAAGTGCACATCAGAGCCGAGTTACACATAGCTGTGACAGTGCAAAGGGAAGTGAGCTGACATGGAAACAGCAGTGTCAGACACACTTTAAAAGGTCAGAGATGCCTTCTCTGCCCATCTGACGTGTTTCTGGCAGCAGCCCCGGTCTGCTGTGTCTTCCCCTGTTTTGACTCATGGCACCCTCGTCCCTGTTTGATGACCCAAAAGCGCCGGGCATCAGAGGCTCATGTGGGGACAGAGCCTTTGATGAGAATGCCTGTCAAAAAATGGCCAAATGACAGGTTTCTTTGTAGAATGGGCATGTCTGGCTTGCATGAATTGAAACATGAGATGTGTTAACAATGCCAAATGCATATATTTGCTTCTTGGGCTTAAAAACCGGTCCTAGTATTTCAAACCTGAAGATTTTATGTTAGAAATCAGGCCATACAGTATTGATTGTACAGTAAAAGAGTTGATATAAGTGATCTAGTGATACCAAACAAGAAGTGATTTAATTGGTTTTCTGAGGCTTTTGCTTTGCCGGATTTGGAAATCCATTCTTTCAATTGATTTTGTAGCATTTGTTATGACTATGAGAGCAGCACAAACAAGAATCGCAAGCAGTCAAAACAATCCGAACCAGATATCGATGGAGCCTCCCAAGGTAGTAAGAGGCATTTCATTCACGTTATCTTTGCCTTGAGAAACCACAAGTATTATTTTAACAACTCACTGTTTTCACAAGTCTTCATAATCATTCATTTTCATTTACATTTCTGTATTTTCATCACCCTTTTTTAAACTTCTCTCATGGGTGAATTAAGACTCAAAACCGTTTCATGTGTAGCTCTTCAACTGTCCACACAGAAACACGTAGCAGTTTGAAGAATAGTTGGACGGGGACTCATTTTCACAATTTTTCCTCATTCTCACTCTTGTGTTTAATAATTGACCAAGAGAGCCATGAGAACCCAGGAGGGTGACAATGAATGTGTTGTTGGAGCCATTCAACTTCTGTGCGAGAGCGCTTCAATGTACGTGCTCCTAAGTGCGCTACGCTAAACACGCTACTTAATCACAAAGGATAAATGAAGCTGTATCTCTTGACAAACATATTAATTAACAGCGGGTGAAAAACAGTGACATTTTGTGAAGTTCACACGAGAACGACCTCTTGCGACCTAAAGACCAATATTGATTTCCTACCGGCTGTCCGAACTACTAACGCAGAGACACGAGTGTCGAAGGTTGAAATAACACTCAAATGACAAATGACTGAACAACAACTTTTGTGAGTGAAAAACCAAAAAGAAACAACATTTGTAAACCTTTTGAACTCCATAATGTTGCATATTTGGGATATTAAATGAAAAACAAAAATGTACAACAGAACTTGATATTATCCATCTGAGATTGATTGATCATGATAAGTTGTTTCTACACTACTGGTAAAAATATTTGAAATAATTAAGATTTTCTAATATTTTTGAAGGAAGTCTCTTATGCTCACTAAGGTTTGATTTAAATACAGTAAAAACAGTAATATTGTGAAATGTTATTACATTTTTAAACAACTGTTTTTCTATTTGAATATATTTTAAAATGTCATTTATTTTTGTGATCAAAGCTGAATTTTCAGCATCATTACTCCAGTTTTCAATGTCACATGATCCTTCAGAAATCTAATATGAGGATTTGTAGCTCAAGAAACCAAATCAACATTGAAAACAGTTGTGCTGCGTAATATTTTAGTGTTAATGTCTTTCAAAAACTTGACGACTGGTGGTGTATATAACATGATTATTGGGGTAGAGTTTAATGAAATATGCTAAAAAGGGGCGTTCTTTCAGGATGCCCCCCCCCCCCC